TCATATTTTGGGGAGTCTGGTGGTCTCTGGCGAAGAGTCTGTAGTTAATCCAAAGTGGAATAGAGAGCCATTTAACAACTTTAGACAGAGAATGAGCCAATTTAACTTATGTTTTATAAATTTTGTTTTGACTTAACTGTAAAAAATGGACCCGGAGTGCAAGAATGGGGAAGAAAGTACCACAGGCAGAAGACCATCATGACTGATAGGAAAACAAAATCAGGGTCATGGAGTCCATGTGGTTCGGTGATATGAACAACACATAACAGATACATTTTCTCGGTATTAAGTATTTGGCCATGTGATTGTTAGGGCTGGCATATTGTTCTAGTGTCTGGAAGGATCATAATTTTATTCAATCCTACCACCTACCATTGAATATTCAAGTTATTGACAGTTTTTCATGACAGTACAGACTGCTAACAGGAATATCAGTAGACGTAAAATGTGTTTGGCATTTTGTTTTCCTTGTGGTACCTTCCAGTTGTTGTAACAACATGTTCATTAATAATTTTAAGTAGTTTGATAAGTATTGACAAATGTTTCTCAAGGAATAGTATAGCCATTGATACCTGAAGCACACAGTATGTGTCAGCTTACCATGAATATTAAGAGTGCAGGTGGGAGGTTCGCCATGATCGGGAGTCACCTGTGGTATGCAGGAGCATTAGTTTAGAGACCAAAGTAGTAGCCCTCTAGGATCGTTAGCCTAAGCTTCGTGTCATGTGGGTACTCAAAGGATGACCAAAAGAAATATGTTAGTTAGAAGACAACTTATAAAAATTTCATGGCTTCCTAGAGAGAGGTCATAACATAAACAATCTTAATTCTTAATTTTGTATCATCATTTAGGACATATATTTATGTTCTACCCCTGCAAAAAGAGTGTTGATAAGTATGTTCTGATAAAAGTAGAGACCTGTGGATTATAGCTTGACTCTCAAGGAATATCTCTGAAACTTCAGAGGTTCCTGATATCTCTGAAAATCCTTCTGAATTGAGAATAGGAATCTTCTCAAGAAGAAGAATAGGAATCTTGAGACGAGAAGGGAATCGTGCACCCTCCAATCTGTGATTTTGACAGCTTTTGCTAGACCTGCCATTTTTTAAACTCTCAGAGATAACTTCCCAGGAATTTCCTAAATTCCAATCCCTCTTTACACAATGTTTGTCCCTTTGAAGTTTACCTGTGTGCGATAAGTATGTTGTAGCCTGTGGCCAGTAAAAAAATTCCGAGTGAGAAGAATTGTGCTAAAGTGTTAGCAATAATTTTCTTAGATGTTTGCATAGGACTGAGTTACCCTTTGTCATTATAGGTTGAAAACAACACTTGATTCT